CGTCTTATCAAAACCTAACCATATACTGCGATTCCAATGTTTCAAAAATTGTCAAATTATAAGGAACTGCAAATCGAAGTAACAAAAATTACTGAAAACTACGATTATCTTTTTTTGTGATAGGGGCATTGAGTATGATAAAGAAGTATACTGAGAAATATGTGAGTTATATTCCTGGACACATCCGCATCTCAGAAGTGCAAAATATTACATTGTGTGGAACTGCATATATCATCTGCAAGCCGAGCCCCGTTTAAACGATAAGTTCTAAATATGCATAGATAACTCTCTTGCAGTGCCATTTTTAAACTTAGACTCCGGAGTGAACTTATTAATTTGGCAATTAAAATTACTTTTTGCCAATTGATGACACAAATAATAATAATAATAATGGAACTTTACACACTGACAGAACAGTCGGAAAGGCAAAGATAATCGCCCAGACAGTGTGATTAGAGATCACGAATACAAGATGTATCGACATTGCAATCCCTTCAGACTGTAATGTATCTTTGAAGATCTTCAAAAAACTGTCAAAATACAATGACCATACATGCCTTAAAGAATCACAAACAATTGCTTTTACATGTACAGCCCACAGTTTACGAAAGTCTTTATATATGTAAAATATGTGTAATTTTTTTTTGGAAACAGACCAGTGGAAAATGTCATGATACCCTTTCTGACCTTAGAGCTCTGGTGGAGACCCAGAATGATATGAGTTTACACCATAAATTCAAAGGAAATAAAAAATAACAGCTATGATGACTTTTGATTTGGTGATATCATCATGAAGTCTGGTTAGTAAGAGTGTGATATGTCATTAATATCGACGGCAGTATGTCTGCCTTAAAATGACACTCGGGGACGTGTCAACATCGCATATAAGACAGAGGGACATATTTCTATTCATATTATTTTAATCAGCCCACCCCAAGCAAGGCGGCAATTCCATCAAGGAGCAAGGGGGTTCCTTAGTGTGAAAGTGAATGAAAACCATAAGAAGAAAGAAGAAACCCAATTCAAAAGAGGGTACAAGAGATAAACCTATAATCCTGTTAAAAAAAAACGGGGTGGAGAGGGAAACTACTTAATTTATCTGATGCGGGTAAGTTTGTTTTGCATGTCGTCAAATGGGGTAAATATGTATTAATATTACTTACCTCGGGAAATTTTACCACATGGGATTTATTTAAAGAAGCACAAAAAAAGAAATTTAAGGTGTCTCCCCTGTTCACTGTAGTTTAAATTTTGTGTATTTTTGTTTCCCCGAAGGCATATTTTTTCTCGCCATCTAATGAGAAGCAAGACATGGGGTGTCTTTGTGTTTTGGCATATCGAAAATTAATGACAGAAATATCTCAAAACACCATCTGTCTGCGATAAGAGAATTTCTGCAGAATTATAGGCAAAATCCCACCACCAATTATGACCACGTTTAGAACAAGGCATCTGATAAGAGAAGTGAAGGTAGCTGCATACTATAACTTTAGGATGATTTATATTTCATAAATTATTTTTTGAAATATAGATTATATAGTGTCCGTTTTTTTTTTTTTTTTTTTTTTTCTCTTTACTTTTTATTCTCTTCTCTTTGATGTTTTTTTTAATATCTTTACTTTTTTTTATTCCTTTTCCCGAGCACAGGAAATCCTGAACGAACAGAAGTCTCTGGACTAAAATTCAATTAAGAGAGATTAGATATACCATAAAGATTTTGTTTATTAACCCTGCTAAATCTTGCTGGTCGTCTGTTCTCAAGTCCGATGATTTGCCGCTGGATTTTATCATCTAGTTGTGAGACAGATACAATACATTTATGCCTACTTCTTGGGGATCCTTTTTCCAAGTACGGTCTCAATATTGCATTAAAACTGGAATCGAAGTGTCAATCAAGAATGAGGTTTGACGAATAAGATGTATGATAGGAATGTAAGAAGATAACTGGCGGTAAATGTAGATGTTGCGGATAACGGGTATAGAAATCAATTGATCATTGCTTTCTAGAGGTTAAGACTAGTATTTGAGGAAGCATCGAGGCTGAAGTGTGTTCTACAAACTAGCAGTTCTCGAGAAAAGTAATCTGTATGGAACTTGCACTTTACAATTCGAACATGGAAGAAATGAAGACGATTTGGCTACGTCGATGTAACATTGTGGATTTTAACTGTTTTACATCTGACGCTCAACTTCTCGAGAGCAACTCTCTGCGGCTTCTCGGTCTCACGTTGACTGCTGACCTGAGATGGAATAAATACATCCAGTCAATTGCCTCGTCTGCTGCAAGGAAAGTTGGCTCCCTGAGCCGCGCTAGGAAGTTTTTCTCCCCGGAGTCGATCCTCCACATATACAAATCCACAATTCGCCCTTGCATGGAGTATTGCTGCCATATATGGTCTGGCGCCCCTTCTGTTTGCCTCGGGGTTCTTGATAGGCTCCAGAGGCGGATATGCAATATGGTTGGCCCTGCCCTGGCGTCTCGTCTACAGTCACTTTCTCACAGACGCGCCGTCGCCTCCCTCTGTCTGTTCTACAAATACTTTTATGGAAATTGCTCCGAGGAGCTACATTCGCTGGTTCCCAGACGTCATGAGTTCAAGCGCCCGACGAGGCCGGCTTCCTGTCCTCACCCCTTCACTGTCGAAACTCCTAAATGTAGCCGTCGCTGCTACTCTAATAGCTTCATGTCTCGCACCTCTCGCCTGTGGAACTCCCTTCCCTTCTCCTGTTTCCCTGTGAGCTATAATCTCCAGCTATTCAAGTGTAATGTCAATCGACATCTCCAGTTACCTTGATCTATCCACTACCCTCATCCTTTCTTCTATCACTCTTATCTGATGTTGCTCTAAATTTTCTGTAACCCCTTGCTTCCCGCCTTCCTTGTGGTGAAATGCTTAAAAAAAAATATAGAAAAATGTGTTGGATACCAGAATTGATAGAAGTGCGTTGTTATGCTTATGTAGGAAGACATATATCGACACTGCAGATGCACAAAACATAACATACAGAACACTACAAGTTTAACGGGGTTTTAGTGGAGGACTGGATAGCGGCATTGAGCGGTTTTAGTTCCAGTCGAATCCATTACCTTCACTTACGTGCTAATACTCTTGGGAAAGGTATTAATCCTCTTCCTTTCTCTCTAGCTATGGGTAAATAGCAAGACATACCAGTTCCTATGGCCTTGGATGGCAAATGATCTACTGCAGAAAGAAATGGCAACCTACTGCGGGAAAACAATCTGCCTCATAGAAAGATACATGATGACCTAGGCGTGTATCCCGCATGTCACATAACTGACAAGAGACTATGAAAACTCCTAATGACCTACAAGCCATAGGATACATGCATCACATACAGACGTGATGTAATTAATGTACCGGTTTTCAGTTGCTAAAATTCATTTTAATTTTCTATGATATACGCTAGAGAGGCGACGGTTTCATGATATAGCACATATATAAAAATTCATGTTTTACATGAAGAGAGTTACAAGATAAAAATCTGGTATTTCATGTGTAGTATGTAACACACCTCAAGTGCAATGTCATTGCACACGGTGTCATATGAGATCACCAAAGAAGCCAAGTTCGTCAACGCACCGATGTTTATGACTGCCCTGACAATTATGTATATGATTGACCCTGCACATATACTAAGCACACTTGAGAGAAATTTCATTATATATATATATATATATATATATATATATATATATATATATAGATAGATAGATAGATAGATAGATAGATAGATAATATTAGTGGAAAATATACATACGTATGCAAAATATATAAATACCATACATGTATATTTTCAGAAAAAATTCCAAGACGAAGAATCCAGGTAGAACTCAATGTCTAGGACAGAGTAAGGATATAATAAAAAGGCTTAAAGACTAATATTCCATGGACATAATTTATTCCATTGGAATCGTAAATACGATCCAATTCATCAGACCTACAAATTCAAAATGAAAACAGAAAAAAAACACTCCGGAAGTGAAAACAGAATTTAGAGAAAGTGTAAATATGAGGAGTGGGGAGATTGAACCTTAACAGAGATAATTTTAGGAGAGGTGGTGGGGAGGATTTTAGATGAGAAGAGAATGAATGTCGACGGATGTCTAATGCATAAAGATACATTTCTTGGTGACGAATATATATAATAATATATATATATATATATATATATATATATATATATATATATATATATATATATATATATATATATATATATATATATATAATATATATATATATAATGCAATTCATATATATATATATATATATATATATATATATATATATATATATATATATTCAAATAATAGTAAAGAAGTGTCAGATTTATAAACCAGAGTTATTTAGTATTTACTTTTATTTTAAAAACTGTCCTCGATACAAAGTAGAACATTATATTATAATTACTTTTTTAAATAAATATATTTAGTTTAATATATATTTAATTTTTAGTTATTTTTAACATCGCTTGAGAATGAAACTTGCTCCGAATTTTTAGTTTAACTTTTAAAGTTAAATTTTTGAATTTAAGTTTCGGTTTCGAAACATAGTAATTTTTGTGTTGCGATGGAGATATATTTAAAAATATATCATTATTATTATTATTATTATTATTATACACACACATATATATATATATATATATATATATATATATATATATATATATATACTGGGTAATGAAGAAAGAAAAATAACATATTCAAACATGAATCCACACTCGAAGACTACGTTAATTAATTGATAGACTTATTTGTTTCTATGGCTGATTAAACTTTTCAGGTTTTTTAAAGTTAGAAATTATTTTAAATTGCTAAGCAAAATTTATAATTAAACCATATTTGAAGTGGATTCATTACTTTTTCAAGGGAATTTGCACTTAAGTTAATATAACGAACGCGACTGGAATTGGAAATCGGCTATGCAATTTCTAATTGCATGTAGATATCCATTACACCACCCGGACATCCAGGTTTGCAGCACTTTGTATTCCCATGCAGTCAACCATCTTATTACTGAATAGGCTTAGCGTTGTTTAACTTCAGTGATCCAACGGGAACGGTGTTTTATACTATATTACTCATTATTATCACTTATTCATTTGGCGTATTTTCCATCAGTAAGTTTACCATTCCATCTCACAATTGTGGTTCAGGGTGGCATCCAAAGACAAGTTGTACAATTTTTGCAAGATCAATTTCTACCGGAGATGCTGAGATTATATCGGAAGTTAAAGAGGCAATATCTACAAAGCTGTAGGTCTTTTGAATTGAGTTTTCCTTCTCCTACAATAGTTGCCAATCAAAGCTAAATAGTATGGTCTGCTATTTACTCTCATAGCTCAGGGAAGAAATATATTGATACCTTTCCCAAGATTATTAGCACGTAAGTGAATGTAATTAACGCGACTGAAATTCGAACTCGGCTCCCCATTGCCACAATTCGTGACGCTATCCATTACTCAACCGCACAATACATTAGATTTTTACAGGATTTTCTCTCATGTTGCGAATAAATTTCATACGAAGAAATTCCACGTCATCAAAATATCTTTTTCAACAATATTGTCTTTTTTTTTCTTTGTTTAGATGAAGAAATAGAGAAAATTTCATCGCGTTTTTCCGTTGAAGTCTGCTAAGATGAAAAGAATCATTGTTTGTTGTTTTTCTTTTTCTTCCAACCCTGGATTTATAAACAAGTGTATGATCTTATTCGAAATCCAGTGTTCAATGGTATTTGCATTGGATATTGTGTTTCGTTTCAAATATAACGTTGTTATTGATTTTAAAGAAAAAACTATAAATGAATGGTAACAAAATAAGCATTGACTTTAAGCGAGTGTGTAGAAGATAGATGCTAAGATCAAGAAGGCTTTATCCCTGCACTATTCCAGGAAAGAAGCAAAAAAAACAAAGAACTCCTACAATCTTCAGTGTACAATAGTAGAATAACGTTTATCTTGAACAAATATAGACTTTCTTTTTTGTATATAAGAGGATCAGGTTCAATTTAGTTACACAGTTTTAACCTTGCTTGGAAGAAAGTTATTCGTAACATTAGAACAACTACTGCAAAAGATTATTTACAAAGAACATGAGATCTTCATGAAGTAGTGTATTAGGGACAGCGATACTGTAATTTTTCCATAATATATGTCTCCGCTCCGTAAGATTTAAACATAATCTTATATCAACTTGTAATGTATCTAGTTGACAGAAATTGTCTTGAAAACAATGAAGATAAGAACTGCTGTTGATAAAAAAAATCTGAATTAAATATAGTATCATCTTCGAAAAAAACCCCAAAATAACTAGAAAATGATTCCACAAGTAAATTCTTATTATGGGTACCGTGCATAAGGTACCTTTACACTAGGTACCTTTACACTAGGTACCTTATCTAGTAAAAACATATAGAAAGCGGCTGTGGCACTTGTCATATGAAGAAATCATTTAAGTCAAACCGTGTTTGTGTGAAAATTTGAAATATGGACAAGATATATTATTTTATTTACACCGTTTACAAACTACGGGTTATTTTCCTCATCTTAATAGCTACATTCACGACGTTTCGGCCGTTTTACGGTCCGGTATTCTTCAGGTGATATACTTTGGTACTTCGAACTGCATCCTTTATTTAGTACACGGGAGTAGATTTTTCTAATTCCACGTGCCATGCCTTTTCTGTATATCTTGCTTAAAGTTAATTTCCTTTAGTAGATGAACTCTCTGGGTCAAATCACTTTTTGAATTACTTCAACCCACTTTTTACTCTACAGGGCCACATGTCCTTGGGGAGTATATTATTTTGTTCTTTTTGTTAATTTTAAGAAAGGTCTTTAACAATAAAAAAAATTCGCTTCCAACACAGTAAAAAATAAGAGCTGGTGAGGTTCGAGAGCTTTTTTTGCTGAAACCAAACGTTGAGGAACAGATGTATATTTATTATATATATATATATATATATATATATATATATATATATATATATATATATATATATATATATATATATATATATATATATATATATATATATATATATATATATATATATATATATATATATATATATATGTATAATTTATATGTTTTTTTTTACCTTCCGTTAATATTATCGACAACAGACCTCTTGACTATAAAATGTCACGTGATGGCTCCAGTCTAAATTCTAGGAATAATGGCCGATATGAAACCATTTAAGAGTACCCAGATATTTATGTTTCTTATAAAAGGAAGTAAACTTGTTCAATAGATACTGCTGTTGGGTAAAATTAAGCAGCGTACACTTGAATATACAAAGCGGTTCATAACAAAAGCTAACAATCACAAAGATTACCTAGTCTTATACATGGGGAATCGAAAGGGTCTGTTCTGGCCGAAATGGTTATTTTCTAGCCATTATTTCCTCACAAATAAAACATCGCAAGTCACTGGCTGCTCTATTGCTATTTCTATGAAACGTATTTGTAGAAGGCAACGAGAAACCACTTCATAATATTTCTAAAGATGTCATAGCAATTCATAGATAATAAAGAAAAGGAATCTGTAGAGAGCTATGATCGCTTACCCCCTGAAGGGATATGGCTTTAACAAAACAGTATTTTTTTTCTTAACTAGAATATAATGCAATGGCCTCAGTCTCAAAACCGGTAATAATGTTTCGTATGAACTCATTCTAGAGTAACCAGCTATTCATGCTTCTCAAAGAAGGAATTAAATTTGTTCAATAAATTGCTATTAGAAGAAATTAAACGGAGTAGTTTTGAATATACAAAACTGTTCATAATAAAAGCTGACAATCACAAAAATGACCAATATTTAAACATTTCCCATAAATCGATAGACACCTAAAAGTTAAACCGACTAATTTGCAAACCAACAAATCGTAATGAATTTGAAAGCTACAGAATGGACATCAAAACTCTAGAGACGAGTGACACTTCAAGATTCATCACTGGCTATCATCTGTGGATAGAATATGCAACTTATGGAAGCGTTATATCTTGACCGAGTTGGTTATTTTCAAACGCAAGGTTTCTTAAACTGTGGACTATGGACCCATAGGATAGATTTCAGAGGGTCCATTAGTATCAGATAAATATATATATATATATATATATATATATATATATATATATATATATATATATATACAGATCTTGTCCCAATAAAAATATGCATCCTAATGCTACTTGAAAGTAAACGCACCCACGTGTGCCTTCACTTGTTGTTGTTTACCATTCAAACGCGTGTCATCATTCTCTGCACGACCGCCATCTTTTACTACTCCATAAGATCGAATGATAATTCTCATCTTCCATATTTATCACGGTTTGATTAACTTCTCATATACTAGTGTGGATTAATTTATCACAATTTTGGCAAGGATGATGAAAGGCAATAAATTTTCTCTACGACAATTAAAATTAAATGATTATTTTTTTTTAACATTCCAGAATATATTATTTATCAGAGTCTGTCTATATTTCTGAGATGAGGTATTATGTACATTATTTATATTATTCGGACTATTGTCCTCATCTTTGTCGCCATATTTATCACAACGTTTCGGCCGTTGTAGGCTCCGGCCTTCCTCAAGGACACATGGCGAAGTGGATAAAGGCGTTGGTTAGATCCAGTGACAGGACCCAAAGAGTGTGAGTTCAATACCCGGTTAAGGCAGTGGAGAACTTTCAGAGGGAAAATTAACAGGAGATAACTGATAACTGACATCCATCAAACATGGTACGTGGAACTAGAACAGTCTACCCCGGTGAGCGAAATAAAGGGTCCAGTTCGACATTCTAACCAACTGAAGAAGGCCGGAGCGTACAACGGCCGAAACGTTGTGATAAATATGGCGACAAAGATGAGGACTATAGTCCGAATAATGTAAATAATGAACTTATTTCTCTCATAAAAAAATCTATTTTAACATATTAACGCTCTTTACTCACTCTTAGATATAATAACTTTCAAAAGTTTTGTTTTCAACGGAGACAATATTTTCCCAATAAAATTTGATGGATTGATTTCAATGTTACAGCATATCAAGTCTTTTCAGGTTATTTAAAGCCAGAAAATATTTTAGACTGTAATCATTATTTGGAAATAAAAATGATTAATAATATTAATTAACCCATGCTTAGGGGAAGAGGTGGTAAACGCGCACCATTCCAAATTGTTTTTGTGCGTGAATATAACTAAACACGGCTGGAATTTGTAAAGGGTTAACCGATTTTCCAACTCCGAGACGTTATCCCTTACATCACCCGCATATCCAAGCTTACAGCATCTATAATTTATTACCAGTCAGCCATCTAAGTACTGTCCAGGGTCAGCGTTGTTTAACTTCACCATTGGTGTTCATAAAATGTTATACGAGTTGGTTTTCACCTTTTAATGCGTTAATTTTAAGTATGAATTTTGGCTGTTATGTTCTTCGGCCGTCTGTTCATTTATTATTTCTCCATTCGAACGTGATTCTTGTATGCGATAATTGAAGATTTCAATGTCATATGGATATGAGAATCGGGTTGACAGTTTTTGGTTTTCTTCATCATACTGCCCAGACTCTCTATGTGTTCAACAGTCCCATACTATCGGTATATCTGTAGTGCTGTGCGTAAGTAGGTGACCATACATGTCTTTCCAGCCTCAAACTCTGAAACCATGTTCTACTTTAGTTTGTACGTCCGTATACTATAGATAGTGGCCATTATTTTGACCTTTTTCTTCTTAAATATTCTCATGACAAATATAATGATAAGAAATACGATTAAACCAGTAAACAAACAATCACGTACCATCCCTCAAATATTTGTTGAAAACCTTCGAATTTATGTAGTGTATAATCTTTTCTCTGGAAACGTTTCCAGATATCATCACAGTTTACGAAATTAATTTAAATTCTTCAATCCCTACCAATGAATACGTTGTTCCAGGGTATTTTCCGCTTCGTCGAAAAGATAATAGGATACATATGTATATTCGGCAAGATGTTCAAGTTGAAACGCACGTGTCTATTGAATTACCAGATGTTTTTTCAAGAGCTTTCGACATTC